TTTTTTTTATCTAAATTTGATTAATTATTGCAATTAGAGTATTTTTTTTAATATTTACTTGAAAAATTTTCACTGCACTTACGGTCGATACAAATTTCAGTTAGGAAAATGATTAAGATCAGGGCCATATTTAGGGGGGATTGGGTTAACGTGCCCTGTCTGGCAGGTTAGTAGGTAGTTCTGAATAAAAATTTTAACTTATTATTAGATTTAAATTTGTACTTTTCATGTATTTAAGATTTCAAAAAAAAAAAAAAAACGTCACTTTAAAAAAATTGAGAGCAAATGAAAAATTATATTGCCACAGGGTCTGTGAAATGGTATAATTTATAAATGCAGCTATCATTAAAATAACAATAACTTTAATTATCAAATTTTTTTACCTATATCGCTTATATTTAATTACGATTAAAAAATTATTAGTTTATTTTAATGATGATTTATATTCTAATACAAGTTATTTTGAAGGAGTAAGCTTTTATAATGAAATTTGTAAGCTGTGTACTCAAATGATATTATTTGACTCTGAAACCTTTTGAAAATTAAAACATCAACGTATTGTATAGATATGTTTTATAACATAAGCATAACGTATTCATGTTATTAATTCTATGTACTTACTCTACTATTGTGTAGCATGGTAAAACATAATACACACAATGCATACAGTGTTGAAGTTTTCTTGTTAACTTTTATAGTATTATAATATTATAAAATTACATTTTTTCAATAGAGATTTCTAAAATTATTTTCATTAGTAATTTTTGTGTTCTTCTTTTAATATATAAATGCGTCATGTGTTTTAGGTTTGTATTAAATTATGACTTTTTTTTTTATAACTCAACTATTTTCATTAATTGTCATTTTTCGCAGAACTATATAAAATAATGTCTCATATTAAATGACAGAAATAAAAAATAAATAACATGCTTGAAAGCTTAACTTTTTTATAATATCCTTAATGGCCTGCTTAGTAAAATATGATTATAAAATTTTTACTTATGTTTTTGTTATGAAAACAGACAATTTAAACAGAAATATTTAATTTCAACTTGATTTGTGCGGACTCATTCATAAAACCGCAATGTTGTCATATAGCGTGTTTACACATTTCACTTTGCGTAGTCCAATAATTAGTTAAAAGACGAAGTCTTGTTATAAGAGAAATAACATAATGCGTTAAGTTTGACGTTGATTTATATCTTTACCAGATAAAAGCGCATGTTAGCGAGCCAATAAAGGAAAATTAAACTTCACTAAAATGAGTGTTTGAATAAAAGAGGGAGGGATGTTTTGGCTTAAACAAAGAACGATTTCAATGGTCTCGATGCAATATCGTCTGGAAGGCTTAATTAGACTATTGGATTGATTTGCTATCGAGTTTACGATTTTTGTTGGCCATACGCCAGCAAACACTACAGAGGAACGTTGCCCATTTGGCTCGAATATCAAAATTAAACCTCACCCCGCCCTATTCAAGTGACTATAAAACATAATCAAGCGTATATGTGTGTCGTTTGTTATATATTTTTCAAATCCGTACATTATTTTTTATGTTGTCAACGAAAACCAACCGGCAACCACAGTCGTCGTTTTATCAACAGTGGTAACAACACGAAGCACTGACATTTTAATATATGATTTTATATTTATTAATACTAGAGTTTCCCGCTAGCGATATTTATTTTCCTTCTTCTGGTTTTCTGTAGGGCTTTATATCTACAGCGTTCTGTCGAAAAACGTTGACGGTAAAAATTAGCTCAATTGGTTAGCAGTTACGTTTGTGATACAATATTTCCAAATAAATATAGTTCTCAATCTGATGGGTTTTTTAATTATTGTTTGGATAAAGCAGTGATGGCAGGATCAGTTAGTTCATTATGGGATAAATCAATGTATTCAACTGACGAACTGACAAGTCCACGTGATAACAATCTGCACATTATTCATGCGATAGTCATCATTATCTCCTTAGCCTCTACCCCAACTATTTGAGATCGGCTCTGCCTTAGTGATTTGACGGATTTTTAACCCGGCTATCGACCTTACAGAATCTCATCATGGCAGAGGTAAATAAGAAAAGGAACAAGAGGTGTGTCACTGTTAAAGTTACCGTATGGTCACCGATCTGAGAACTAACAGTAAACAGCGCGGCTGAACATTAGCGCTAAGGCGGTGACCGAATGATCCATTGCGCCACAGTACACCCCGTAATATGATAGTTAGTATTTAAAAAATTATGCATTACCAAATTGAAAAATCGAACTAAAGAAAATGACTTTTTAATTTCAAAAATGAAATTTATTATTTATTTTAAAATTTTAGTCAAAAAACATTTGTTTTTTTAAGTTATTATAAGAGCATACTCCATTTAATATTTAAATTATAGTATGAAATATAGAACAAATCAATAAAACCATATAAAGTTTATATATTTTAGACATAAAATAACTTAGAGTTTATAAGTTTTTGGATTTTCATATAAAAAAATCTATAATTGAATGAATAAACGAGAACTATATAACAAGGGTTAAAATTTTAAGACGGTCATTGAAGTTTAATTGTTATTCCATCAGAGCTAATAATGTTTTTCAATTTATTAAGACCATTGTTTGTACTAGTAGTGCATCAGAATAATGACACACAAAAGAGAAAAAGTTGAGTGTATTGGATTCATGTTTTCTTAAAAATTCGTTATATTTTCTTTTAAAAATTCAATTTATATATTCATCTGTGTATCTATCATCAACTAGTGTGTCTTTTGAAATTACATATCTTTCCCTTATTCTATTTTTATCTAGTTGAATTTTCGTTCAAATAATTAAATTAAATTTAGAAAACTTATTGTCACTTTTAATGATAGAAAAAACGATTTAACGAGAACATAATATGCATGTGTCAAAGTATTCTTCATCTGTAAATTTATAACTAATAATTAATTAACTTATTTATACTTTAATGAGATTGTTTTGATATACATAGGGATTCAAATTTACCTACCGAATTCCCCAGTCAGTTATCTTATTATAGTCCAAGATTAACGTGTGCAATAAGCTGATTTTGATATATTCAGCTAAGGCTTCCAAACTTTTGCCCTTAATCTGATTGCATCCAACATACAAATATTTGACTGTATTGCCTTTGTGCATGTAATCAAATATTATCTGAAAAGCATCATCTGTTATTCCAATTTTATACAAGTGAATTTCAAGTAAATTGTTATTATAAACTAGTACGTCTCTATGAGAGCGGACAATTTCTTTTTCTCGTTTTCTTCCATTTAAAGGATTAAGTTTCGGTTCATATTCAAACTCCTCAGAGTACTATTGGTGTTTTCTTTCATGAGATATAACGTTTTATCGACGTAAATCATGCAATCTACTATAATATCCATCTTATATAAGTCTAAATCTTTTAAGCTCGAATTAAATTGTAGCATTTTGAATACTGATAAAACATCATCTGGACCAATTTCATTGCCATTCAATCGTAACGAATGCAGCTGAATTAGATGAATTTTAGCTAATTTTTTTTACCTCACTTAAGGTGATGTAATTATTCATTATACTTAACGTCTTTATGCTATTATTTCCATTCGTAATAAAATCTATATTTTTTTGATAACCTTTATCTTCAATACTGTTGTAACTCAAGTTCAAGTATATTAATCGATTAGATTTATCAGTATATAATAATATGTCAACAATATCAAAGCATGTCAAATCTCTTTGCAAGTATTTAAACACGATAGATTTGTTTAAATTTAGTTCACGTGGTTCATTTTGCCATAAATAGTAGACGTTCTATGTATGATATCAAAGCTTAATTTATTTCTCTTTATACACGAGTAAAGTTTGACGTCAAATTGCTTTGAAAATCCGTTATTAAATATTAATTAAATTTTTACTCGCAAGGTTATCTTAAAAAATAATTTATCTTGAATAAAATATATATATATAATCACTATGGATCTTATAATAAAATAATAATAACAATAAATAAATTTGTTTAAGGTATATGGTGAAAAATTATATAATATGTGTAATAACAACAATACTGCTAAATAATAAATTCATTAATGATTCTTGAAAGCAATCTCTCGTCTTACTCGAGAGAAAAACATTGTTTAATAAAAATTACATTCTATACCGTGGCATTTAAATAATAATAGAATGATCCGTCAATTCTGTTTTATTGTGGGTATTTTTTAACAAATCTAATTTTTTTTCTTCAAATTATCTAAACTAAGATTTAGCACATTTTTAGTATTTTGGGTTTGAATCTTATCTAAATATATTTAGTAAATAAAATTAGTATTTGTTTAAGAAAAATAAAAATAAATTATTGGTATAAAAACAATATTAATAACATTACAAAAACACTAGAAATTTAAAAAAAATACATTTTTTTGGTTAAGCAAGGCATTAGTTTTGTGTGTTGATCGAAATTTGTATTTCAGATTGAAAATAAATTTATGAGCTTGTAGTATTTACATTATGCATCTAACGAAATCCTATGCAATTTTGATAATGAGCGTGGGATTCTTTGTTTGACGTAAACCTTTTTCGACACGATGTACATTTGAAAGAGATGTACTACAAAGCATGAGTACGTGAATCTAACCCTTTTAATGCTACTTAACTCCTAACCCAGTGTTCAAGCAAAAAAAAATTACATTTCCGTTTGACCTTTTTTATCTGTTTTTTTCTGTTTTCAATGAAAAACTCTAATTAAAAATACGCAATGGCCTGCAACATTGGTTCTGACTTAATCAGTTTAGGTAGAAAACGCGGACAGCTATAGAGAAATGTTTTACCAGGTACTGTTGTTTTGAATATCAACACAATTATAAATTAATAAAAAATAACAAGGAAAACGGATGTTATGACAGTAGCTTTTTCATGTATATAAATGAGACTATACACATAAATTTTAAATTATTTATGGAATTTTATATATTACATTGATATATTATTTACTCGTAGTATTTTTTTTTCTAGGAAGATCACATTCCAAAGGATATATTATGTTTCGGGAAGGATCGCCGGCATCAGAAGGTGTTCGTATGTTTGCAAAGACCGGCCGTAGTGACAAACTTGACGATGGAGGAGGAGATGAGATAATACTCGATACGTTTACAGCACCAAGTGCCCTAACTGGTGCTGCTAGAACTCAGGCTCAATTCTTTGTTGATGGAAATCATTCTAGGGTACGTAACAAACCATTAAAGAAAAATATTAGTTCAGCTTGAATAATTTAAGAAGAATTTCTAGGAAATTTCCATATCAGTGAAATATTTAAAAACATTGTTGAACAAATGTTTATTATTAACTATTTAAGAATTAGGAAATATCAGCATGTCAAAATTAATATCAAAGATTAAGTTACGGTTAATGACTTGATTGTATTGTGATAAAAAATTAAAAAGTTCGTATTATGATACAACTAATTACTAAACAATATTTAAAAAATATCTGAACGTAGAATTATTAAATTATCTCTGTAACATTCTGGTTAATGGTCTTATTAACATATTCTTCTAAAACTATTGCTTGAAAATTGCACATTTTCTCTATATTCAATGGTATTTTATAAGTTTAATCGATTTTGATTATTCCAATGTAATTTATATAAATGATTATTCTGCATATCGAGACATTTATATCAAATGAATTTATACAGACATAAAAAATGTTTTTAAAACAATATTACAACAGTTCATAAACTAAATAACAATTTCATCTTGTGTATAACTTAATGAGTTGGCTTATTACGAAATACAGGAATATTCTATGAAATATATCGATTAAGTATGAATTTTTAAAGAAAATTTTGTAACAAGCTAATTTTACTTTGATAGTTTTTATATTTTTATTTATACTTACTAAACATTCTAGTCATGAACTTGAGTTCAGCATAAATTGTAGCACTTTATGTTTTTATACTTGTATTACTACTTAATATGTATAAATTACATTTAGAATACCAAATGTTTTTTTTTTTATTTCTCAAAGCTTTATTTGTTTACTAAAGGAGTTTAGTAGATAAAGTACATAATTGTGTATTTTGCGTTTATTAACAAAAACGCTTTTACTTAGATTATCCGATGAGATTAAACAAAAATTTGTTATCTATTGTTTCTAACTAATACATCCGTTGCCATAACAATATAAGTTATATTTTGTTTAAATTTTATTACTCGTGTACGCAATACAAAATGTCCGAAATTGTCTCTCTATTTATGTTCTTAAACTATTCTTTGTAATAGGCTTTTGTTTTAGTTAGCTAAATCCTAAAAGTAATAAAGCTGAAGTTACAACAAAAATATATTTATTTACTTAAGCAAATCCTGAAGAGTTTTCAAACTATTAGTTGTAATTTGTATCCACGAAATTGTTTCGACGAAAAGATAATTAGATACATTTAGTTTTCAAACTACATATGTTATAAAACCTACAATTTAGATTAAAAATGAGGGAATGGAGTGCGAGATATTTTTTTTATTTTGTATATATTATAACTCAAAATGAAATCGTATATTTGTAAATTTTAAGGGTTAGTTTAATTGTACTGTTTTTTTACACATGCAATGCATTATGTTGTACTATAAAAATTCACATGTGTCATGTTTCAACAATTTATTAAATTAATTCAATGAAAATTTTGTAGATACAAACGTAGGCAAAGTAAATATCAATCGCGTACTATTGTATTTGGCAACATACTGTTCAATATCCGTAAATTGTAACAACGTTTATAGTTTTAATTTGTTCCTATATTACTACAACGATGGTCTTCATAGTATTTTATCTATTATATTAACTTGCTTTTACCACTACTGTAAATTATTTATCTTAGAAACCTCAGAGTTAGGAACTTAATGTTAGTTCTGTTCAAATTTGATTAATATTTAAGCTTCAAAATGTGTGGGCAACGACTGCCGTGCTACGTGGTGATGACGATAGAAAATACACGCGAATAAAGTAGCACGGCCGCAGCAGTAAACGCAAAGGTTTTATCATTATTACTGCCAAGCTTAATAATAATTGAGAAGAAGCATCCTGCATTTATATATTATAAGCCTGCCCCCTGCCGCGGTGGTAAGCGAGGAATAAACGGAAATTTCGGCAAACTTAATTAACGAAGAAAGGTACAATAATTCCTTTTGACAAATGTGACATTTTAACAAAAAGTAAAAAAGTTATCTTTTTTCTTATTAAGACGGAATAAATACACTTGTCTCTCGCAAAGACGTCTTTATTTTCTGATAGATATACGTGAGGGGAAATCATTAACACCACATTGCACTTTGTAGTAAATATATTATAATATTATACAACAATTCAATTTGTTTAGTTTCTTATTCTGTGTTATTCTTTGTACGTTTCCTTTTCTTTTCTTTTAAAATTATTTTTTGTGAGAGTTTCAAACTATTACCTCCCTACTTGGCTGGTGATTTGATTATACGGCGAGATAAGAGGAGGGCGCCGACATGCAGAAAAAAACCATTGGGAAATTTACTCAGTCACAGCAACTGTTCGAGTGTAAACTCATCCTTTGTTTATATATATTCTTCAGGGCCTGTAGGGATACACGGAATTAATTTTCCGCCGATTACCCGACATCTTTCCCCTTCATCACTTATCATTTACCCTGACCCGACTGCGACCGATGGTATAATTGAAAATCCGCACAGAATCATTCTGAAAAATCGTAAAAGTTACTTACGGTAGTTTTCGCGAAATTGCGAACACGTACTACACAATAGAACTATAGAGACAGTCTAATAACCCAAAGTTCATATCATTGTAGTCGCCTTACAGGCTGGTGAGTTGTGTTCACTAATAATTGTATATGTTCTGAGGTCCAAGTAATTCTTCTGTGCACATGCCATATACCTTCAATTACAATTAACGTCCAATTGCGGTAGTGTCTTGGTCGAGTTAAGTGCCTCTCTCCAAAGATTCACTTTGTCCGTCGGATGATTCATATACGTTAATGTATTTTTACAACAAATTAACGATTATGTAACTATTCTACTCTATCTACCTAGTTCAACAATGTAAATAGTGAGCTTCTTGTGTTAGAGAATTATAGAGTTACAGAATATTTTTGTGATGGTAAATCTTCAGTAACATATTGTACGGTTACTATATTTCTGTTGTATCTTTTAATATTTCAAAAATGTTGTAACTTACGGTAATCGTAAAATGTTAATAGCGCTTTACACGTTTTAGTGTCATCATTATAATGTTTAATGCTTATTCACACAGATACTGAGAACAAACACATCACAACGTAATTAAAACGAATAAATAAATAATTTACATTATTTCGTTGTTTTATAGGTTTCCCTCATATCACGTATGATTCCATCGCCCGACTGGTTTGTCGGCATAGACTCATTTGATTTGTGCGTCAACGGCAACTGGCTGGACAGCATCACGATAGAAGTAAGTACCGTATAACTAACCTTAAGACTTTTGAGGTTATAAATCAAAATGGCGTTTAAGGGCGTGTATAGAATTTTTGAGACTACCTAACGTGATGTATCAGGTTAAAGACTAAAAAGAGCACTTCTAAAATGGAATTTTAAAAGATCAACCTTTCATTAATATTTTATTTTAAAAATATCTTTAATGTAAGTAACATTACTGAAGGCCATCATGAATATATTTAAAAAAAGTAATTCGATCTTTAGTGCTCTACAGCCGCCAAGATTAGTTTAAGATAAAAAAAATGATTACCTAATTGAAATATTATAAGAGCATAAACAATTTTTTCGTTTGGAGATCATAAGATAAAAATATTAACTGGAATATTAATCAATTTTAATACATGTATATTTAAATATTATACATTAGTTCTTCAATGATTAAGTCTCGTATATAAAACTGTCATTTTGTCATCACTATTTTTGCTGTTCATAAAAAAAATTGTGCGTTTAATACTTAATGCGACTGGCTATCACCCAAAATTCAAATTGTGTGAATATTTAAAAACACAACACATTTATTATTGTATGCAAAAAAAAAATTGTGGGATTTTATCATCTTACTTAATTTTACCAGTAATGAACTTTTATATTATTTTATTAAGTATACTTCTTTAAGTATAACCTGAAAGGTTTTCTATTATACCCGTACATGATTAAAACTGTGTAGGCTTAACACATAGTAATTCTTAACCTACTAATGCATAACAATACTGTTATTAAATTGCAGGCTGATCCGATGGATGCTGGATGTGACAACGGGTTTACTTTTACAGCGCCAAACTGGCCTACCGACCCACAAGGCATTATTTACCGAATAAAAAGCAATTATCCTTCACACCCTGCTAGTTCTTTTTATTATCCACAAATCAATCGGCTACCAACTATAGCAACTTTTCAATTCATAAAAGTGAGATTTGTATAGTAAAAATAATTTTAAAAATTGTTCAACGTAACACACTAATTTATAAATATTTATGTTAAGGTAAAAGAATATGACCAATCGTTAGGTGGCAGAGGACAAGCATCTGATCCAATAGTAAAGATTGAAGAAAATATTGTGAAAGTTTTGAACGGCGATACAGATAATGATAGAGAAGTGCAACTAGAAATGGAACAACAAAGAAGAGAGCAAGAATACAATAATTATAAAAGGTAAATAAGATGATTATACAAATTTCATATAAAACTTAAATCTATTCCAAAACATATTAGTTATTTAGTTATGACGTCAAACTAAATTTATGATTTATATTCATGACATCTTTGCATAATAATACTAACACAAACAATGAATAATAAGGTTTGAGTATGCTTTTCTCATTGAGTATAAGTAAACCTTTAATTGGGTTTAGATAGTTGTGTGCTTCAATGAAATTATAATTCAACAACATTACTCAATTTAAACAAATGAATGCCATTTATTTATTTTTCATTTTTGTTATGTATACAATTTTTTATTATTTTATAATTGTAATTTTCAGTGTTAATGAAAGTCAATTATCCGTCTCTAATGGAACATCAGCGAATCTCGTATCAAATACCAACAAAGATGCATTGATGGACAGCATAATGAAAAGTTATCACGTTCGAAAACATAAGAAAGCTCATAGAAAGTCTAGTAAGATTTTTTAATATTCCCATTGTTAGAAAATTAAATACATTGGCGTTACATGTGTATGCATAAACATAACATATAAATTATGTATAAAATCTTAGGTTTATTTATTTCGCTATTCTATTGTACACATGTGAATTTTCTTTTGTAATTCTTAAAATGTATGAATATTTCACGTTTTTTCTTATAAAAAAATCCCATTTTAACGTATGCAGTTTATTTACATCTTAATATTGTACGTCATATATAGATCGATCTTGGAAGTGTGATGATAGATGAAATTTTTTATTTCTACTTAGATTTATATTTCACAAAATTAATTAGCTAATGCTCTCTTTTTGGAATGATAAACTACTTATTTAAATCATAAAAATTCATTGTTGTTGCAATGAAATGTCTAATTGTTTAATAAAACTCTTAGTTCTTATTATTCGAGAAACCCTAAGGGTCTAACGAAATAATAACATTTTAATCGTTTAATCATTTGAAGTTTGTATTACTGTAAACATTATACTTTTAGAGAATAAGATTTTAAGAGTTTACGTCAATACGTATGGAGTTATTAGAATAAGTTGTATTCAATTAAGGCTTAAATTTAAAAATATAATATGACCCAAGGAAGACATAAACATAATCAAAATGAATAAACCAATTTTGTCTATAAAAAACCTTATTAGATATTATCATAGGCGTGCGCAGACTTTTGGGTCCGCAGCAGCAAAGACCGACATTAGCTCATTTGCTACCTTAAGAAGCCACTTTACAAATTTAAGTTAAGGCTCATAGAGCCTCAATTAATGTCCCCAAATATTTCAGGAGTAAGTACCCCATTCACCTTATAAGTAAAGATACTGTTAGAACATTTTGCTTTATCTTATTTTTAACATTTTACTCAACCAATATAAACAATTAATAAAATTCATAAAAATTATAGTAATAAATTAAATAAAATCTAACACTAGTATTATAAGGGTTATATAATTAATGTAAAATTAAAAAATCAATATTTTTTTACACATCAAGAATCCTTTTTTTTTTAATAATTAACTTTTATTTATTGTGATAGGCCGCTATGGTATATTAAGTTATTAGGTCTAAAATTATGCTAAATTCAATTTTTTTAAGTTTGATTACTTTTTAGCCCATTATTGTTACGGGATTTCTTAAGGAAGCATCAACGTTTTAGCGGTCAGCGTTGACTTTAACCGTTTCACTAAATATAACCAGATCAGTCGGGGGCAGTAAAAGAACCATTTGCTGTCCCTGTACATACGCCTATAGATATTATATTTACAATTATTCATGTCATTACAGAGTATCGTGACTGTCGAGTGAGCGATTGGTCTGAATGGAGTGGTTGCAGTGTGTCTTGCGGCATCGGTGAAATGCAGAGACGCAGGCAAATAATCAAACATCCAAGAGGTGCTGGCAAACAGTGTCCGCCCCTACAAGAAACTAAGTGGTGTGGTAGTGCAAAAGATTGTCCACAAGATCGTTTCAAGTGGTAATCATAGTGAAGGCCAATGTGCTCTGTTGTCACGATGTATGTTGTCCTGCCAAGCTGATAAATGCAATCATTTCTAACTACCCTAAAATATTGTTTTCAATTTTTAATTTCTGACATATAAAAATTTTACTTAAAATTGTACAATTTACTGTAAATTATTTACTTGTATAGATAGAATATAATACTATGTACCATGAGAAAATTTATGATAACCTTTGGCTTTGTGGCTTTGGGTGGAGATTGCATTTTTGTGTGATTTTTATAAAAAAAAACATTATCCTGGTTAATATTCTTACCAGCTCAAATTACAGAATCATCTTAATGTAACTATGAGTAATTGATACAAAATGAACATGCAAAAAATCAGAAAACTAACCATATCAACAAGAGTATCAATTAATTAAATAAAAAATATATTTTTTATTTAAGAGACGTTTTAAGTTATGTAATATACGATAATGAACTAATGATTTTTATTTCATATTATAAAGAGATTAGATTTTAGACTTAAAATGTGTGACTAAATTTACACAAATGAGTATAATTTATATTTTACGTATAATTTTTTTTTAAATTGTACGCGTACAATACAAAATATAAGCGAAATTCTTGTATTTCTCACTTTTTTGTATACAATTATGGCGAAGTACTTGACTTTGTAGATAGTTTATACATACTAGTTGATTCTGTACTAACTTTAAGCTTAAAATTTTCGAGATTCACATTTTACATGAATCGACTTTTTTTACAAATACATGCATATTTTACTATTAGTAGATATATAGTCTAATGTATTATTATATTATGTTTACGGAGTATAATTGTACTACTTATTGTGTTAGTAAATTAGCTAAGATTAAACCAATGTAATTAATGATATAATGTAATAAAGTACAGCTGTAAGTGTGTAATAAAATAATAATTATTTAAATATTTTAAAATTATAAATAAAGCTATAGTTATTTAACTTATTAATTAACTACTAATTATTAAAAGTTCTATCAAGAAATTTTCTGATGATTTTTTCGTAAGTGTAAATTTGGGTATTAGGAAAACTTAGACCATTATAAACTTTCTATCCATTTATGAAAAAAATCATACATCTAATTCCAAAGTACGATAATTTTTTTTGTTTTTGTTTGGCCTCGACTCGAATTGCTGCCTACAAATATTCAACAATATCTTACAGGATGTTTGGTTTGTTTCAAAAGTTCCAATTTATCTAACATGCTATTGAATTTTGTATTGCAAGACAAGCAAAGCCAAAAGGAAAAAAAAGGACTATGTTTTACAATCTACTGGGATTCCCTTTTGAGTAGAGGTAGAATTATTGCGTTGTAAATTAGGGTACTTCTTGCTAACGAGCTAGCCAGTCACTACAAACATTGTAGACGTCTCTTGGACCCCATTTCTGTAATTATAATTGCTTTTCTATGCACCTAAGTCTCGTTTAAGTTAAAAAAGATATCTCACTGCTTGTGTTCATGGATGCGATATAATAGAATATTATCAGACTCGGGTAAAATGTTTGTTGGGGTGGACAGGCTTAGTACTTGGTATATTACCTTTAGATACTAATTTTAATTGACTTCTGGAATTTAATGTTCAACTAGTATCTACCTTTTTTTTTCTTGCAAAACTGTGTTTGGGTTGATAATAAAAAATTATAAACTTTTATATTAATATTTTTATATTGTATAATAAAGCAATATAACAAAATATGATGTTGTCTTTAAACTAAAAGGTTTTTATACAATTATGTTAGAAATTAATTTTTTAAATCAATAAATTATTAAATATTGAATAATGCACCTAATTAAATTTAAATAAAGACATAAAATCATAGTAATATAAAAATATATATAAAAAAACACTTAAATATTATTTTTATAGATAATATATATTTTTTAGCAATACGTATTTTAAAAACTAAAAAAAAATTTTTAAAAACACAACTGAAAAATTTTATTTATAATTGAAATTACCATTTAATTCTTAGTAATCTGATAATGATGTTTGGAAAGTATGCTAAGTGAGAAGTCCATTTTTTTCCTTCAATTAAAATTTGTTTGTAATTAATATATTATGATAGTAGAATTTTTTAAATTCAGGAAATCATTAGTTTCACCTCATTAAATTGTTTATATACATGCCAAAATGAACTAAAAAACTTCAGGCCGAGTAGACTATTTTAGTCAGCACCTACTCAAGGATGAAAATTGAATAAGGATAGTATTTTTGGTTATTTCCATATAAATAGTAAAAATCAATCACAGAAAAATGAATAATAAAATATAAATTGTAGATATAAATGATTTTACAAATTAAGTACTTACAACTTTTTTGATAAATGTGCCAGTTTTAAAGGTTTGTGTATTCTGTAATTTTTTAGAATTGAAATGAAAATTAGGCTCTTCAGACTATTCTTACGGGTAGGCCACTGATTCCAGTAAGAGTACCCGGCTGCGTTGAGCGCGATATGTTTTCTATAAAAATAGTATTACTTCAGAAACAATTTACCAGAATAATAGTCATATTTGAAAATTAAATAATGACTAAAAAAATAATAATATGGCTAGAAAGTACTTAGGTGTATTTAAAATTATACTTCACAATAACATACTAATTATTATTCAGTATAACAGTACTAAATAATAATGAATTACGTGAAAAACAAAACTCATAACTCAGCCAAAAACCAACAAATTTGAACGAAATTTTCAGAGTATCTTTAGAATATTTCTGGGCAGTACTGGTAAAAATTTCAGGTTTTAAATCGAAAAACATTGGCGAAAATGACCGTTTTTGGTAAACATTTTAAATACACATTGTGTGCTAAAAAAATTTTTCTCATCTTCGTAAATAAGTTTCCCAGAAAAATGTGGACGAGATCTTAAAAAAAAAAAATTAAAAATTGGACATCGTTAAGTAATTTTTCCAGCATTGGTTTATTTTATTAATGTTATATTATATAATAAATATAAATATTTTTTTCACTTATCAATGGAGAATGGCCTTACAAAATTTTGACTAGTCGATAACCACTTTTTAACATAGTAGCATGTAATAATTTAGAACAGGGTATTTAGTAAAACTATTTTTAACATAATGCATAAATAAGAATTCTTTTGTGGCGCACACCCCGCTTGCTAGTAACTAAAAATTGTAAAAAATAAACATTACATAAGCACAAATGTGTTTTTTTTAACTATTATTTTTAAAATAAATTAAATGTTCTTTTTAAAAATTAAATGAGCATTTCGACGCCAAACAATTTCTGCTTCGGTTAAATCATACACGTATGTATTATTTATCGTTAAAAACTTAAATGTGTTAATAAAACCACAAATTCATTCTCTAATTTTGAAAAATAAAAATTCATTTCGCGATAATCAATTTCTAGAATGGATGATAGTAGATAAGCAATATCTAGAAAGGTAGACAAGACCCGTAAAAATTAGGGAAATCTTTGGTTTTATGATTTACAAACTATAAAGTGTCCTCTGTTAGCAGTAATATTTTTATTTGATCATAGATTATAAAAAATAATTTTTAAGCAAGAATGTTTGTTTTCAAAAGTTATATACAATCTTATAAAATTAAATTTACAAAATTACTCTAATAAATTAAAATGAATGCAAAATCAGTACTTATGTGAACAGTTAAAAAAATATATATTTTAATAAAACTGCAGCTAGCCCGCTTATGTTGTACTTTTGAGAAATATTTTTTCTATATCATTACTGACATCTATTGATCTATAAGATTTTATAATGATAAACACATGAAAAATGTGTATCGCTGTGATTTCTGATAAAGAATTTAAAAAATACAATAATATTATTATCACACAACGTTGTATTTCGGCGTTAATAATTATAATGTTAATTCTGATATGAGCAGAAATACTTGTTTTGAAATTATTTATTATAATAATGAAACAAATAATGACGAACTGCCAACTATGATCAATAAATGTTGTAATAATTAGTCAATATAATGATAAAAGTTTTGTGCATTACTTTTATTCCTCAAGTTATCCACTAAAAGTGTAGAATTAGCGCCAAATCGTTACAGTGAGTAAATGTTTATTTTATTAAATTTATTTTTATAATTCATTTAAACATACTTGAAAACCATAAGATTTTGCTAAATAGAAAAAATATCAAGTTTGAAAATATGTATTGCATCTTATTGTTAAAATTATCAAAAAATTCCTACTATTTTACTGTCTAGGAATATTTTCAAACTTTATTGATACGAAAGAAACCTACATATACTTCATGATTTTAATAGTTTTTTGTTGAAAATTATAGTATAGTAATATTAATTTGTTTTGTGTAATCTATGATTATGGTAATCTTTTTTTTTAGAGATGACGCTGTTCTACAAAAATATTGGTGGTACTTGTAAATGTATTCTAATATCATTGCGACATAATGAACATATTCTTGCTAGAAAATATTCTCAATATGTTTTTCGTCAACAGAAGTTTGAAGTTTCTTTAACTCAGCATTCTTTATCGTTATTTACTTATCGTAGTTATACTACTAAAAACAGTAATAATGAAAACAATACTATAAACCAAGAAAAAACAGACTCTAAAGAAAAATTGTTTAGAAATGTACCAGTTAAAAAAGTTTTAGACAAAGTAAATCTTGAAAAAGATTTGGATAGAGTTCAAAGACCAGTTAAATCTGTGGATAGAAATTATATTACTGCTCGTCGTGCCATGACAGAGTTTTTATTGAAATCTACTGATCTTGAAGGTCTTAAGACCATTAAAAGACGGTCTCCTTTTGAAGATGAACCTCCTATTAATGTTTATTGGCGAAAAGATGTTGTTGCTAAGGCAGCTGAAGTTTGGGGTTCTCAAGAAGGTGTTTTAACTGAACTTATCAAAAGAGAAATTGAAAGAAAAAAATTGCAACAAACAATGTTTACTATTAAAGCCCACCGCAGAAATAATAGAAGGCAAACTTTAAATAAAAATGATCTCAAAACACAAAAATCATCAGGACTTTTTGGACCATCTGGCCGTGTTGTTTTAACTGCAGTTTTCATTAATGGCATGAATACGGTGTTTAAAGGATTAGCATGGTTGTATACAGGTAGTCATAGTATGTTTTCAGAATGTGTGCATTCAATGGCTGATACAATTAATCAGATTATATTGGCATTTGGAATTTATAAATCCGTCCAAATTGCTGATTCTTATCATCCTTATGGATATTCTAACATGAAGTATGTTGCATCATTAATATCAGGTGTAGGTATATTTTGTATTGGATCTGGTCTTTCTATTTACCATGGTGTAACTGGAATTATTCATGCTGAGCCATTGGATTCTTTATTTTGGGCTTATTTTGTACTTGGTGGTTCGTTCATAACTGAGGGAGCTACATTAGCAGTTGCTATTAATAATGTTGTGAAATGTTCAAGAGAAACTAATGTTACTTTTTGGCAATATGTTTTACGAGGTCATGATCCTACAGTTAATGTTGTTTTACTTGAAGATTGTGCTGCAGTTTTGTCTATTGGTGTTGCTGCAGTGTGTATGTCTTTAACATCTTATTTAAATACTCCTTTACCAGATGCAATTGGATCACTACTTGTTGGTGGCATATTAGGAACTGTTGCTTCATTCATAATCTATACAAATACAGCTGCATTAGTAGGTCGTTCAATAAGTCAAGAATATTTAAATAAAATAAATGCAGAGTTGGAGTCTGATATTATGATAAGAGCTATACATGATGTTAAAGGAATTGACATGGGAAATAGTTTGATAAGGTATAAAGCTGAGCTTGATTTTGATGGTAGAGAACTAGCTAAACAATATCTTGATCGGCTTGATCCAGAAGCACTAATGGCAGAAGTGAAAGCTATTGAAAATGCAGATTGTGCTGAGGCTTTTCTATTAAAACATAGTGAAAGTATCATTGATATGATAGGTGGTGAAATTGATAGAATAGAATGGCAACTGCGATCTAAGTTTCCTGAAATAAGACACTGTGATTTAGAAATACTTTAAGAATTTTATTTAGTTTATGAATAAGTTTTAAACTTTAAAATGGTTTTTACTCTGTAAAGTTTTTTTGTTATTTATTTACAAATGTATTACCAATTTATAAATTAAAGTATTTTATTTTAAAATTATACAATTAATTGTCAATATTGTAATTGTATTCTTAACAATATTTTTATAGAGCATTAATCACATGTTTCATAGACTTTTAAAATCTTCTAGTAATGGCTTAAAATGTACTTATTGTAGCCAGAATTGTTATTTTTTTTTTATATTAATAATATGTAGATAAATTCCTTTAAATGTGATTTAATTATGCTTGTTTTCAATGTTTTTATGTAAGCGCAAAAATGTTAAGGTATTAATTACACCTGTACTTGAGGTTATTGACAATATAACAATTTGAATGAATGCTTAATTTTTTATGTTATTTTGTATCTAAATGTAAAACACCAATACCAATTATTATTTTTTTTAATTTGCTTATTATTAATTATTATAAAAAAATATTTTATGTAGGAAATTTTTTAGACAGACACATATGAATAACAAAAATACAAATACATACCATTATATTGATTAAAATATTATTATATGTGCACACAAAACAACAAAATAGTACATTTTCCATACGAATATTTATATATTAATATTAATACCATAGATTGATATTACATTATCATTATACCAGTTTCTTTATTAATTGTATAAAATAATTTATCTTTATAATTAATTAAACAATCATTTTAAATTAATTGTTTTATTGAATATTTTAATACTAAAGTATACCTCATAGTTTATTTAAAAAAAATTTAGTTAAACAATTGTTATCTAAAAGAAATTACATTATAAAATATACATTTGAGATTTGTACTTCTATAATGAATACGTTACATTATAAATTTGATACAAAACTATTATTTAAGTTTTATTTTCAAATTCTGTAGGCTACTAGAAAATAATTGGGAAAATATTATTTATTAAAAGAAACGTTTAAAAACTAATGGTGAAATACAAAATTAAGTTACAAAACAATTGACTCGACTATGTTTATTTATAATTATTTTATTTTAATTTAATCAGATAGTAAAAATTACATTATTGTTTAATTTAATTGGTTCCCTTTAATTATTTTTATTTTTGATGTGCTAAAAGTTATTTGTTCATCCAGCCTTAACTGGAAGAAGGTTGAGCTGTATTCCACTATCTCTCATATTTTTCTGAACAGAAGCAGGTCGAGCTATAGTTTTGAAATAATATGTCAATGCTGCTTTTAAGTCTTTATTTTCTCGAATTAACTTTAAACGCTTTACATCTAGTTCTTGGTTTTGCACTTCGACTTGAGCATATCGCTGCCAAAATGATGACATAATATCTACATCCTATAATTTTCATAAAAAAAAATCAAATTGGTATTTCTTTTATGTTATTTATTGTTTAAGTTAGACAAATTCATTTAAACTTACATTATTGTAACCCTCGTGATCTTTGAGGTCATTAAAATGTTCAACGTTAATCATTAACTTATCACAATTTGCAATAATTTTCATGATTTCTTCACCTTTACTCATAACACATGTTAATTTCTGGTGAAAATATAAAATGTTAGTGTTTTAATAATTTTCAAAAATTTAATGTATTATCTAACTTGTACAACGTCCTTGTGTATTTTTGTCAAAACTTTTAATCTTTTTTGATACTCGTTTTGACTTTGATTCAAACTATTTCGAGCTACAAAAACTTTTTTCGTAAGGTCATCGTGCTCTTGCCGTAAGTCGTTTTCTTGTTCAGTGTAAATTTTTTCTCGTTCAGCACAAAGCTGAGTTAACAATTTTATATCTTCCTTTAGAAATATTAAACAAATCATTAAATTATATCGAAAACATCACAATGCAAATCTGAATAATTTTTGTACGTTATTTAATACTACCGAGTACTCAGCAATACGCTTTTCGTTTTCTTCTATAGACGCTGTGTTGGCCTGATCCCGAATCTTTAAATAGTTATAATGATTTCTTTTAGTTTCAGTCTCTTCGCTGTAAGCATCTAGAACTCTTTGAAATTTCTCTACTATTGATTGGATTTCAGCATGCCTTAATTTTGTGAATCTGTCTTTTTCAAATAACATCTAAAATAGTGTGGATAATTCAACTTAAATATTTCTTAAGAAGTGGGGTATTTGCATTTTTTTAAATACGGATAATTTAATCTCCATTTTTTTCGATCAAAAACGAACAATTTTTGTTGTTAATACAATTTTACATTATTCATATAGTTCTATTAATTATATATCATTAGATTTAAAATTAAAATGTAACCCAGTATAGTGGAGTCGCGGCATAATTGGGACAAGTATAAATGATATCTGACAATGATTAAAACCACAATCATAAAAAAATGATTTGGTGCAAATCTGTAGATAATGTTTAATTTTTTTAATGAATTATTTAATTATTCCAAAAGCAACATCATGTTTTATGGTTTATAGGTATTATACGTGAATATTTAATAATCTAGTATTGTAAATCGTACTAAGAAATGTATAAAATTGTTGTGGTGATTCATTTAATATTAACCACTCGATTACTCTTAAAATAATAATTATATTAAGAAAGTTATTTTTAAAAATTGATATGATTCTTGATTTATTAATTATTAAGCTTTTTTTAAATTCATCTTTTATACGTTGTAAGGGTGTTAGATTTATTATTTTATAGACAGTATTACATAATTAACTAGCTAATAAAATTTAAAAAAAATGTCTAATTAAGAAAATGACTTTTCGAAAACATTTTTTTAAAATAGTACTTCAAAAGTTATTAACATATTTGAAAATAGAGTGGAGGAAGAGAACGACAAAGTAATGTGTAATGATAAAAATAACGTAACGTACACTTCACCTCCACTCTATATTATAATAGTTAAAACTTCCGAAGGATCAGTTTTTCAAACATTAGATGTCAATAGAAAGAAAAATACCTAAGGTGTTAATATAAAGACAATATAATTTGATTCATTTGTTTTTTAAAAAGTTATGACAGTTTTATGGAAATATCAAAATTTACTGATTGCAAGAATCATAAATTTTTGAGGAGTTCCCTAACAAGGATTTAAACAATTTTTTCAATTTTAAAGGGCAATATATTCAATTTAATAAGATTTGTGACGTACGTCAAACTACGTTTTCTTGAAAAAAAATCGGCACGAAAAAAGTTGAGAAAAAGTGATGACAGACACACACAAAAAAAAAACAGATTATAGTAAAATTAATACTTTCTCAGCTACGAATCGAGACTAAATAATATTAAAAATATTAATTTAATTATATTTTTAATCTTAAATATTAGCCACGAGTGATCAATTCTTATTATATCATGAAATTATTAAATCGAAATAAATAGCAGTATACAATTTGGATCAAAGTACATTTTTATTCGACATTTTCAAGAGTGTTTCCCTTAAAAAAATCACTTTACTCGGATACTACCTCATTGTTTAATAGAGCAATCGAATCCTCAAAATCTTCATGGATTTGTTCCGTTTCTTCTTCGTTACGAATTTCATATGTAATTGACATAAGTTCCAATTGTTGAATGTCTTCAGTAAAAGCATCTCGCATACGATCAAATGTGTTTTTCATTTCTTCAATTAAATAGCCTTTTTTGTTTTCATATTGGGCGTGTAATTCTTCCATAATTTTCCCATGTAAATCTGAGGTGGCAAAAAAAACTCAATTGAATATTTTATTTTAAAAAATAACAGTATTCAATAAATTTACTTAGAAATTGTGAAATTATTTCAGCATGAGCGGCATACTGTTTTAAGTTCTGTTCTTCGGCATCTTCCAAGTCTTTTAGTAATATTTCGACATGATTGTTTTTGCATTCCAATAATATTTCGAATCTGTTCTCCAATGTCTACACAGGATTAACGGTAAATATTGTCTTCTTAACTTAAAAGTAATTTTTAATCTTACCACCATTTCATCCTTTAGTTCCTTGCATTTCATTTGTCGCAAATTGTGTCTCCATTGTTGATTCAATTTAGCTGTATTAAGTCGGGTAAACGCTTCTTCTCTTTTCAATTTGTTCTAAAATCATACAAAATAAACTATAAATACAAAAAATTTAGGTCATTATGTTTAAAATAAAAAATGAAACAAAGTGTTGTTTATACTTTTAAGTAAGTAGCTACTAATTGCTCTTTGCGGCGTTTTGTTTCTTCTTCAATAGCAGCTCGATGTTGAAGATAACGCAATTTTTCTTCGTCGCTCATACGAGCTAATTTTTTTCCTTTTTTGCTCTTCTTTGGTGGCATTTCAATTAAACAGGTAAGAACAAATTTTAAACGTAATATATTTAAGAATAGTCAAATCTGTCTTTTCTTCAATTTAATTCGAGTATATCGACCAAACCGTTTGTTGTTGTCTGCTATTTTGGCTTCTGTAACAACGCGTTGTTATGGAAGAATTATTTCATGACACAGAAATTAACCGCTTCCACGGAAGTGTCTTATTTCATTCAGTGTCTATGAGCTACCTATGAAAAAAATAAGTAGTCTTATATAAGGTCTTTCTTAAATTCCTACATCAAGTACAGTTTTCAAATTTATTAGTCTCCCATAAAAATTAAAGAAAATTAAAATTGTTATACAATGGAATTTAAATGTCTTTAATTTGATGTTTTTAATCAACATCACAAATTTATTTCTATAATAATGGTTTTTAATTTCGATGCGAAGCTGAGAGATATTAATTTTACCATGATGTGTTTATTTAATTTTTTTTTCAGCTCTCACTGGACCAATTTTTGTCAACGATACGCAAAAAAAAAAAACAAATCGTTCTAGTTGAAGACATTACCCTCAATAGTTGAAAAATTTACCCTAGATCCCCGTAAATGGTGAAAATTCCCCCAAAAATATAATTTTTAAAATCGGTAAATATCGTAATTTTTTAATAATTTTTTCATAATACTGCCATAACTTTTTAAAAATGAACAATTTAAAATCAATTGTTTTTTTTATATAAATACCATAGGTACTTTTCTTTCTTTGGATAAATATTTTTTTAAATCTGACCATTAACCTGCCCGAAGGGGAGGCTTCAAAATAGCAACTTTTACACTAAAATGTAACTATTTCAGCTTGAGTTATGTCAATGTTCTGGAAAAACTGCATCCTTCAAAAATATGTTAAATTAAAGCTTCTGTATTGAAGACTAATAAAAATAAATAAATAAGGTTTCTGTTACGTTCTATAAATTAAAAAAAAAAAATTGTCCCAACGATCTATCTTTTATGTGTAAATGGCCGCCGTAGTTAAAAATCATGATAATTTTGTGTAAAAATTACTTATGTTGTTACACTGTTATACTTAAATTTTTTTAGCTATATAAAATCAATTTTGTGAATTTAATATTTAATTGTTTTTGTGTTAAATTTGTACGATGTTATTTTAAAAAATTTAAGAAAATGCTATTATGTATCTATTTCAATTCGTGTGATAGAAAATTATTCGGGTACTCTAAGACACTTGTTTTTAGTTAAAACATCTGTCATACTTTTTTTTAGAATTATTTGGTTGTACTATAAATTATAAAATAGATTTTATTACTTAAATGGCAAATCATCATAACAGTTAATTTTTAATATAGAAATTTATGAACAAATATTGATTAATAAATCTTTTGTTTCTTTACTAATAACAGGCAAATCTAAATTAAAATTAATTTAAACACTATGTACAAAAATTAAAATATACAAAAATCATTTAAAAATTTAACAGATATTTTAAACATACATTGAGAAGTCTCAAACCTAAGATTTATGTAAATAAATTTATTTGAATTATGTTATATGATTTAAGCAAAAAATATCATTTTTTAAACATAAAAATATTTTACCCGTCCTTAGCCGTAAATAATTATTTAAGACTAGGATAATACTTAGATTATAATTAAAGTATTATCCTAATTTCGTATTCTAAACGAATTGGACAAAAATTCTGAATTATTGAAGATTATGTACCAAGTAAAGGGATATGAGACATATCTCAGGATTAATTAAACTTATTTTGACAAAAAAAAAAAGTTTCTTTTAATGAACTTTATCTGATAAAATGAAATTTTAAGACAAAAATATTATTTCCATGATAACAAAACATTAAATATACTGTTGATTTTACTTGTGCTATAGAATTTATATATTTTATTTTTATACTAATAAAATATATAAAAATCGATGATTGATTTCACTTAGAAAATTATTTTTATGAAATATTAAATTAATACGTAATATATTAATCATCATTTAATATTATCATCATATTAATCAAACACATTTAAGTATATTATTGAATTTTTTTTATTTTATCAACCAAAATTTAGTACTCAATGTTGTTAAATATATCAAAAAATTATTGACAAGTAATAATATTAGCAGATACTAATGTGCTTATAGAAAATACAAAATTTGAAATCAAAATAGTTTTTTTAGTCCCACATAATATAAATAAAATTTTTAATATATGACAAAAAATCTGTTATTGTACTTTTCTCTTAAAGAAGTAATGAAATATTGTAACAGATAAAAAACTATTTGTATGGACAGACGAGGTACTCAGTTTTAGAAATTTAATAAACACATCACCACACAATAATTTGTTTTCATGACTTTTCGGGTCTATTGGGAAAAGCTTGTCTGACCACATTACTTTTAAATGTTTATTTAACGAGATGCAGTCATTATCTTTAGCTGGGTTAATGTAGAACTTTTGAAGAGCATCACAATTTAATTTTTTAGAAAGTCTTCTCAATTTGAGCACTATTTCATCAATAATTCGTGAAGCCATCGTATTTAAATGTTCAATACTTTGATCTTCACTTAGTTCCAATTCACAAAGTTGATCGTAAAGCTTATTTTTTTTTAACTCCAAACCTAATAAATTAGTTAGTTTTTTATAATTCTTTTGTACGGTTTGTACAGGTGTTTTCGGAAATTTATTATTACAAACGTAAATCATATTCCTCCACATGATGCGAAACATGATCAACTGCACTATTTCTATAAACATGTCATGATAATATTTAAGTGCCTCGAACCGGTCAACGGGAGAAGCTTGAGTTATCGCGAACTCATTGGCTTTTTTTAAATTTTCAAACACATCGTTCCAAATGATATTGAGATTCATTTTATCACAAATTTTTTCGAATGCTTTCGAGTAATGGATTCCGGCATCATTGAGATATAATTTCTTTGGCAAATACATCGCTCTGTAATTATTTGGGACATTTACCACTGCGGCGTTGTATTTTATGTAATCTTCCATAGTTTTGCTGTTTAAATTGAGCAATGCTACGATTTTGGCGACATCACAAGTACCAGTACGTCTACACTTATTGAATATTTTGTATTTGTCGTAGAACACCGAATGAGGAGAGTCCACATTGAATTCATTTCGTGGGTCACAATAATTCTCGTTCAAAAATTTTCGCATCTCTTTTATAACATAGTGGTGGACGTAAAGTATATTTCTCAATTCAATTTTTATAGGCGACTGATTTTTGACTTTGTCGACACTAACTAAATTGGTAGTTTTATAATATTTAATTCTGCTTACGTACATGTACAAAAACCATAGCTCGTCGTAAATGTTTTGAATGCCTTGTACCATTAAAAACATTGCCATCATGTGATAAATCATATTACTATACGACTGAACATAAATTAGGATTTCACCTTCTGAGGCGGACGAGTCGAACAGTATCAAAGAAGCTTGTAAATGAAGCAAACCGCTATACGCATAGCCACATCTGAGTCTTTGATAACGCTGGTCTAATACTGTTTTCAATTTGTCTTTTTTAGGATTCAAAGTGGTCATTGACTGCTCATCATCAAGTTTATAACCCGTTTTGATGTTCCGAATTTTATTCTTTGAAAGCGAATCAATTTTTATTACAAAAATATTTAACAAAATAATAAGCAAACATAAAGACATATTGAAGAAACCCATAAGTACAACTTATAAAATAGATCTAAACAAATTCTTTTAACCATTAAACATTCAACATTTTATACTAGCAAATAATGATTAATTTTAATTAGGTACTAATTAAGGGTATGCTACTTATTATATACAATATACATCAAACTATATTTACTCAGATGCCAAACATTTTTTTTAAATACGTTTTTAAAATTTTATTAGAAAAATATGAAATGTTATAGAAAAAAATTTGCTAAAACTGGAAATATTAATAAAATGTTTTATTGATATACAGGCGTACCAGCTTATTCTGACAAAGTCTATTATTTTTGATCTACTGAATATATTTTGTTACTTTTTTTATTAAATAATTTTCCAATTTTGGATTAAGTTAAAAGAATGTTTTTTGTACTTGGGCTCTAATAAGAAAAAATAAAATCAAAATTTTTTAATTTTTTGGTTAACTGTTTTTAAAAATCTAATGACAAACAGGTTGGGTTTGAAAGAAAGTACAAGCATGTGAAAAAAAAAATATCAATTCAATTTTTAAAAATGAAAAGATTTCAAATAATTTAGTGCTAGTAAAGTATTAATCAAATATCATAACAAAGAAACATTTACTATAACATGGAAAAATAGATTATTTTCCCTAAAAAAAATGTAGTAATACATGGAATTTAGTTAAGTTTGTAATTAACAATTATTTAACTGGTCATGATATACTCAATATATTACAATTATCGTACTTTGCATAAAAAATAAACAGTTAGAACTTTTTTCAACCGAATAAGTGTTTTCCAAAGAATAAAATAGAAATAAATATGTAAAAATAAACAAAATCAGTATTAAAAACGTATTTTTAAGACTTTTACGTATTTTTTCTGTAAATAGTGATTTTGTGAAATATTTATTAAGAAAACAACGTTGATGTTATTATTTTTGAATTTTCTTTACGCGAGTTTTACTTTCATAATTCTAAGTTCAGCGAAAAAAATAGTTATGAGACTCAACTCAACTTAAGAGGTCTGAGGACACGGGTTATCCTTAACGGATTGGTCGAATAATGAAAACTAAATTAATAATGAGTTTGTAATTTAAAACGAAATCTTTAAATAATTGAATACGCTTATGCTTAATCAGATAAAATTTATAAGAAATAAATTAGTTCGATATTTTTTTCCTATTTTATCATCAAACTCAAAATTGGGGTTCTCATAAAATAATATTAAAGTCGAGATTTTGTTTTCTTGAAGGAATAAAAGAAAATGTTTTAACTACATTTTATTCTCGATTTGTTTTTAGATCAATTTTTTTCTTCGTGAAAATTGATGACATGGCACCGCGTTACTCTCTAGTCTGTCGCTCACTCGCGTCTCTCTCGATATCAGCCGTCCGCCTATTAATATGACAATCGGTCGTGTCACTGTTATTATTTTCGTTTACCAAATTATATATCGCGTGTGTGGTGCTCACCGTATTACTGGATTATGTATTAATTAAAATATACAAGTTTTGAGAAAATGGAGTGCCTTACCCTTAAATAATCACTATATGATATAGATATCTAAATAAACTATTTTCACCATGATTCCTCCTCCTCTTGTGTGGTCAGCTTATATCATGTTTAAATATATTTTGCGATGCTTACAAAAAATCTCGTGCCTACAAAACATTTCTTCGCACAATGACGTGTTTCATTAACTAAGTATGACCGGACACAACCAATACTATTTAATAAGTTCTTCATTTCGGTTTTTTAAAAAATCTGTTGTTGTTTATTAATAATAAACGACTCACGGGTGTCTACCGTCTAAACCAGTGTCGACTATTATATTGCGACATAATTCGTGTCAATAAAAAATACTTTATGATTGATAAATTTAAAAATATGTACCTAAAAGACAGAAATTCTCAATATTATTTTTCGATTAACTAAGTCGTCTATGATAAATAAATCACCTTGTAGTTAAGGTATTCTGTTATTTAAACAGGCGATCAAAATCTGATAAGACACTCATTTTTTCTAAGAAATCATTAAAAATTTTAAATTTTAGTAAGGAGAAAAAATATTAGGTTTAATAAAAATGTACCTAAGAGGAAATACCCAAAGTATTTATTAAAGTAATATTTATTTTTATTCATCTATTATTATGAAAGTAATAAGTAGTTTTATGTAAAAAAAGTTAAAATTTTTTCGAAATTTACAAATTTAAAAATAGTTAATTTTGGGGGAATTTCCAACATTTACGGGAAAATTTTCAAGTTTTGAGGGTAAATCTTCAACTAGGTATGATTTGTGATCTTTTGACATACAGTTGAAAATCGAAATTATTTCAGATTTTAAAAAGTGTTTTACCATATCTAGTAAGTTAGTTAATCAATATCAATTTTTTTTTTTTTTTAAATTGTGAGATTGTTTATTGTAGAAACCAAAAGTAGTATGGAATAAATTTTAAAACTTAAATCAAACTTAAAATAAAAAATTTTTTTAAGTCAAAGTTTAAATTCAATTAAATTTTCAAAAGCGGTCTAATAATATTTTTGATTTCTGTAATCATGTACTTAAAAAAATTCGAAATATATAACAAATATGTTTGGTACGTATTTCAGTTCATTTATACATATAGTAAAATTAACTCTGTCAATACATCAATATCTATAAATTCAATAAATTAACATTAAAAATATTTGAAAATGTAGTTGCAGTTATTTCAATATTCTAGTAAACGCAGTAAAAGTGATTTAATAAGTCTAGCTTCACAAGTTACATTATTCAGCTCTTTCTTATCTGTTGTTTCTACTTCGGGCATTGTTCTAACATCTTTTCCATGATCTAAAAAATAACCATTGAAAAATTAACCAATACTGGAAAAATTACTTAACGATTTTCAAAACTTTTTTTTTTTAATGAAGACGTTATTTCAGGAAAATTATTCGCGAAGATTAGAAAATTTTGTGGTCCGCATCGCACCGGATCTGGGGAAGAGCCCAGCAAGGCGAAGACTAGTTATCAAAGTTAGATTCAATTCCATTTGACCATATAAAATTTAATAAGTTTCATATTTAATTATTATCTCAAGTTTCAATAGGTTTAATTCGATACCTACGTATAAATTTTACCGTAATATTTATACTATATAGATTGTTCAATGAATAAAACTTTTCTGGATGACTTTACTAAGTTTGTGATTAACAACCCCGATAATTTCCAAAAAATCTATACATTTATTTAATAAAACACGATAACAAACTTACATTCACATTGATCCAAAAATCCTAAACATTCATTGTAAAATGAATCCCGCATCACTACTATTTGTTTGGCCATATTTTCAATTAGTGATAACATACATCTTTTTGCATAAAACCTGTAAGTTATGAAATCTTGTAAAGTTAACACTTGCGAATTATTTTTATATTAAATGTTTAAAAAATGATACCATGTATCCATTCCAAGTTTTTTGTTGTAAGGTTCCAAGCTTTTAATTACTCTAGAAATTCCAAACTCATAATTACCTTTTGAACAATATAGAGTACTAAAAATGAAAACATTTAGATTTGTTATCTTTAAATATTTTACTACTTATTTAAAATTACTATACCCAATTACAAGGTTGACAATACATAAATGATAAACTTTTTTGTCTGGTTCTTGATAGTATAGCCGTTCTTCTTCCTTTTCAATTTTTCTCATGAGCTCTTCAGCTTCTTCATTTTGTGCTGTCATGATGTGAGATACACATAAATTTGCCAAAACTATAGCACTTACAGACAAAATCTAATATAAAAACCAAAAAATTCCTTTACAACTAGCGAAACTTGATTAGTTGAAGTATTAATAATAACAATTTAATATTTACACTGTTGTAATTTTTTTTTACAATGGGTTCATAAAACGCAATAGCTTCTTTAAATTTCTCTTGCATAAATAAAACATGAGCAACGTGTAAGCGCCATGTGTCATTTTCATTACAAAATTCGACAGATTTATAAAAAATAGTTTCTGCTTGAGCATAGTTTTCAAGATCCCAATAAATTTTTGCTTGAGCCATTGTTACTGGAATGAATCTAATAAATAACCATATCTCATTAATTGGCAATTTTTCAGTTATATTTAAACATATCAATGATTACTTTTCAAGTGTATATTCATAGTCAAGTAATGCTCTTTTTGCACTTTTATCATCTCTTGCTTCTCTTGCTTCTTGCACAGTTCTTGTAGCTTTACGTAAAGCTTCTGCTAATTTATTACTCATATTGTCTAGTTTACGATAAGCATCATCTGGTGACGACTGTTGTGCAATCACAGCATCCACAAATTCTCGAATATACTTTAAAATTTAAATATAACAGAAGTTACATAAGAGGATATTAGATATTAATGATCATAATAAAAAAGGTGGTCAAAAAATGAAATTATAAAAAATATTAAAAATAAAACGATTACTAATGATAAATGCTTGTCTTTAGTAGGTGAGTATGTTGCTAAAACATCAGATGCTAAATCATAGTAACCATGTTTGCAATACAAAATTAATAAGTTCTGCAATGTCTCTTTAGGGTAATTAGGTTGTTGCAAGAGAAACTGTAGTTTATGAAATCCTTGTGTGGGAGTTATATCTATAGAGCATAGTGCTTGATTATGTAATGTAACAGAATCAAGTTCCTCTTCCCATCTGGGTGGCATATCTGTTAATGCTTCACATGCACTATTAACTGACATTAAATACATTAAAAAGTATAATTTTGTGGGTTTTTAACAATTTTTTATTTTACAATCATTTTTTTCATATTGAATAACTGCCTTTAAATTAAAAGCTTCCACAAGTGCAGATTCATGTAAAGTTAATGTATTACCTACACTTCTCATTTCTATTCCTTCAGTAGTCATACCAATTCCAAGTTCAGGATGTTCTCTTATTCCTCTCTCAATAATATCACCTATAAATATAATAATTAATCATAATATATTATCATTTACATTTAATAATTACCTAAATGTTTTAAGGCTAAATTAAAATCTTTTAACTTGTAATAGCATAATGCTACACTATATGATAAATGTGGTTTATATCCTACAACAGCTTGAGCATTTAAAAATTTTTGAAGAGCATCATCATACTTTTCTTCCTTTAAACATACAGAATGTTTTCTCTCTCTTATTAGTGAATGAAGAAAAAGATAATTTTAGTTGTTAATAAAAATACCTTATAAAGAAGACACCCATAATTTATGTCGTTATCTGGATCATCTTTAAGACCTACATTATTTTCTAAATAAGATCTGGCACCTGCAATATCTTCCATTCCATATAATATTGCTGCAGTCAACTTATGTACCTTTTAAAAAATCGTTTAATTTGTAAATTAATGATCATAAATGTATGAATCATACTTTATTTTCATAACCATTTTCTGTAATTTTCTTTGTTATTCGAAGTGCATCTTCATATTGTCCAGCTGAATAAAGCGATTGGGCATAATGAACCCTATAATCAGTTGCTTGAGGCCAAAGAGTGGTAAGTTGCTCATATATTATTGATGCATTTTGGAAGTCATCTGTATAATAATAACAATATGCCAAGAGAGATAAACCAGGTCTTGTCTATTAATTTTTAAATAAAATAAAGTAATATAAGAAATATGTATGGCATAAAATAGATACAACATCAACAAATTTAAACAATATTACTACAAATTGTTTTTAAAAACACTTGCATTTCGTTTGTTATCTGGCATATTGTTTATTATTTTAATAACATCATTGTACTGCTTTTCTTTAATCTAAACAATTACTTAGTTTGTATTATAATAAAATGTGTAAATTATGACATAAGAAATAAATATAGTTTTATTAAATAATACTTTATTATAACAAAATTACCAAGTTATAAATGGTAGAAGTGTAGTTACCATCAGTAATATTACACATTTGAAATTTATAACAAAAAAATTAATCAAAAGATTAAAAAAGTAACAACAAATTAATAAACATAGAATACTTAAAAATTACTTGGAACTCAAGTTACTGAAATCATGATAAATGATACAACAATATATAAGTTGCTATGGAGATGTGGTCAAAACAAAACAATTACACAAGTGCATAAAATAATACATTTTTATCTTGACTAAAATCATAATATAAATATAATAATTTATTAATTAGTATAAAATTAATTCTCACTGGTTTTATTTAATAAAACAGTCTTATTATTACAAACATATTTACACTAATATTTATTATGCCGATTTTGTACTCATTGTATCTATGTCACGTAGCAAAGATTTATTGAGATCTGGATCACTGTATATTAAATCGGTTTCCATAATGTCTTCAAGCACTTCAGTATTTAAACAAGCTTCTTTAATATCAACCTGTAAATATTCCAAATTTCAAAATACTCTATTAATTAATCATGTAAATTGAAACAAAACATATCTACAAAAAACAACTTTTTCAGTCTGTTTAAAAGGAAAGATACAATATTTTATGATTTTATATTTTTCTGTTTTATACATTGACAGAGACAAATGGAGAGAAACATCAATAATCATTTAATCAATCATTGGATTGTAAAAAAAAATAATAATAATACATTGAAAAAAGAGGATACTTTTCTATATTGTGGAATCAATAAAAATTAACAGCTAAGTTTATTACATAAGTACAAAAAAAAAAAAAAGAATAAAATATGCAATAATATTTAAATGGTCTAATATAATATTATATTTTTAAGTTAAAATCTTATACTTTGATTAAATTAATTGATTAATTTAATGAAACTATAAAAAAAAAAAAAAAGACATAAGTAAAAATTATAAAAGAGTACAAACTTTAAATTATGTCAAAATAATGTTATTTTTAAATAGTCATATTTTTAATTTGAACAAAATATTTGGGGACATCTAACTTCATTTCTCCTCTCCTTAAAAATATTTCCATATAAGTTTTAATAATTTTTAGAGTGATAGTATTAGGTGTCAAAACTCTTCTAAAACCCCTGATTGGGCCTATAGATAAAATAATGAAATACTAACATTGCTATTAGCAAACATTGGTATAGGACCCAATGGAGGCACATCAATAAGTGGTGAAGGTCTATTTTCTTTATTTTCATTCCAAAACTTTCTTTTAAATAACTGAGGTTTCATTGGACTAGTTGCCATATCTTGACAGCTCACACCATTTTTTATATGAACATTTTTTATTAAAAACTGAAAAAAAAAATTGTAAAATAATAGAATATTTAATAAAAAATTCAAAACTTTGGTTATTACCGTTTTATGAAAGTCTATTAGTTTACAAGCTCTACCTAATATGTATATTAAATTGACAATTTTTAATGTGATCAAACATATAAACGTAAATAATAATAACAATATAGATGCAAGACGACCATCAATAGAAATACAACGTGTTAAAACCTTTATCATAACAACACCTAGTGGAATTGGTATAAAACCCATCCTTCTTGCCACTAAATCTGAATGGTCTGTAAAAGCCTAATATATATATATATATAAGTTTTAGTCAGAAGTCACTATCTAAATATTAATAACTAACTTTATGGTGGCGAGATTGGGCAGTATCATATGCAAAACTAAGTACATAGTCTCCATATACCGACAAATTAATTTCATTGAATCTTGTTATAAATGCATGTTTTGTCCAATCAATCAACATTTCTGCTACTAAAACATATGTACAATCAAGCATCAACTCCCAAAAGTATTCTGGAAAAAAAAATAACAATTACAAATTATTTACCTGATATAATTTTTAGAAAAAATTCATATTGAATCAAATATTATAATACCACTAGTCCATTGGTACTCTTTCATTGTTTGTACAACAACAACTAGTAGTAACAAAAATAAATGAAAACGTTCACGAACATCACTACATGATAATTGAAATAAATTTGTCTTATCAAACTTTTTAAATACACTGCCTTTAAGTTCTACAAACTGTTTACAAAAAAAAAAAGTTTTCGGTTAAAATTTTATTTATTTTTTTATGAATTTAAAAATATTTACATTGTTGGACATCATAATAGCAAGTAATGCTTTGTGACTAGAATTTATTGCAACATTAAGAGTTGTAGCTTGGCACAATACAAGTATACTATGCAAAACTAAATTATTAGTTAAGGTTAATTAAAAATAAAATACAATTTTCTAAATTGAGATAGATTAAAAAAATAAAAAATAAATTAATAATGGTTTAGGAAGAAAATATACTTAACTGGGGAACTAGAGAAGATGGAAAAGAATGACATGCTAAAAGTACTTCTTTATCATAATTCTTTTCCTTTTTCACTTAATTTAACGTATTAAATATATTTTATGAAGCCTATAAACTAATAATACCATACATATAAAAGTTGATAAGTTACCAAAATGGGTTTTGAGATATATTATAAGTTGAATGGAAAAAGATTTTGATTACTGCACTTTAAATAATTTCTTTAGAACATCATTAGTATTTTAAATATATATTTGCACTCTTAAAGAATAGCCAAAAAATGTATTGATCAATTATTTAGTCTAGATTAACAATAATTTTGTTTAACCTTGAAAATTCAATTATTTAAATATAGTGCAATATAATATAATTAATTGTCACTCAATTAGTGTAATACTATAGTATACTATCTCAAAAAATTATTGTTAATTGTGTTAGACAATATTATCAAAATGTTGTTTTATCAGTTAAATTTTATACAAATACTGTATGACTAGAAAATATAAATCATATTATGCAATTTTTGTTTTTAAGGATACTGACATAAATCACAGCAATAACATAATGTGGTAGAACACCAAAATGTTCACGACGGCTATGCTTTGGTTCTGTTGCTGTCCAAAATAATGCATCTAAGATATCTTGACCAAAAGATGAAAATAATCTGTCTCCAACCTACAATAATAAGTTATAACACAAATTAGTATTTATGTATAATTTAATTTAATGAAAATTTTTACCTCCAACATATTATAGAAGATGTAGAGTTTAATTACTGATTGACTTTTAATAACATGATACATCATAGATGTATCCCAAGGCATTAAAATCAAAGTGCATGTTATAATTATAGCCATCTTTAAAAGATCACATACTTCTGCTGATGTTAATCGCTTTTTTTTGTGTTTATCTCTAAATAAAACATTAAACAATATAAAATGTTATAATTCATTACTAAAATACTCATACCTGAATTTTAGTATTGAACGACATATAAATGATTTTAATGCCACCAAAGCTCGAAGTGGTAGGAATGTATAAACAAACAGAAAAGAATCAGCACACTATGACATTTTAAAATTATACATATTAATATTTTAATATTATTAAAATTTTTTTTTTTCATTATATAATATTAATAGGACAGACAACAAGATTTCCATTTTCCGTGGACACATTACCATGATATATTAATAAATAGCTCTTAGAATTTTAATAAAAATACATACTTGACAAAATCCATAAAACATAAACCGTTCTACTTCCAATGGTATTTTCATAAATGTATAAACTTTCTCCCTTCTATCAGAATATTCCTTTTCATCATGTTCCAATGAATAACCACGAGAGAATTCTACACGAATGAAATCCCATAATGAACCTACAAAAACATTTTTAATATAGAATAATTTAAAATTTATGACTAAGGATAATAATATATTAAGAGACAAGTAAAAAAAATAATTATTAATGTGTAGTTTTTTATTTTTTTAGGAGTCTTACCTGACTGAGTTTTAGTAACACTTTCTACTTTACCCATATTATTACACATACAGCCTAAAATGTAATGTAGAATAAATTTTAATTAACTTAATTTATAATAGAAAAACCCTCAAATCCAGTAAGTAATCTGAGTAAAGGTATTACAAATAAAATTTTTTTTTATTTAATCGATTGAGTGATTTTTACTTATCAGATAAAGCCTTATCGTACTATTTTTTATTATCATTCCGCTTAGGAAAATAATTTTTTTATAACTACTTAATGACTTTCATTAAGAAAAATACGAACCTTTTAATTTATATGTTACATTCTAAATAATTATTATTTATTATTTAAAATTTAATTAAATATTAAATATCTTCCTTTTTGAATTTGAATATTTTTAGGGCAATGGATCATGCGCAATATGTAATATACGACGTGTTAAAAAGAATATTGAATATTATTACTACAAAATATATGTTAATAACGTAATTATTAAAATAATTGTAATTAAATTGTGTTTTAAGATTCTCAAAATTTTATATTATTTTACGCATTGTGATATTTTATTATAGTATTACACAGATGTAGATAATAATATAATGTTTATTATTTATATCTGTGTAGTATTATATAGTTATTTATTAGTGTACTGTTAGAGGGGTTTAGCTACCACAGTTTACAATATAATCCTCCAGAAATTTAATAAAATTATATGCATTGTTTTATAAAAATTATTTTTTTAAAATTAGTATTTGAAATTGCGATCACTGTGGTAAATATATTATAATGATAATAGTTACCACCTTGAATGCAACTTCAACAAAATTTTTAAAAGGCAAGGCCCTTTAATGTCCCTAATTTACACCTAAGGTTACTACCTTCCTACTAAAGTGTAAAAAAATATTTTTCTAAGATTTTTTTAATTTCTCTTCTCCTCTATAATACTTTTATAAAACATTTTTTTTTTAATCGATTTTTTAAATTTTTTTACTCTCTTTATCGATGAGTAAATTAGTACAATTTTTCCGCATCTACTCATCGCTTTTATTTTTTCTGTCACGAACAGCTTATCATTTTGTACTTAGTTTTTATCAGGAAATATTTCAACTAATTTTTTACGGAAGGAAATGTAATAGTTATTTTTAATTTTTATTACACTATTTATCACACGAATTTTCATTCAAAATCGATTGGTATTGAGAAAAGAGATCTGTTGGTAAAATAGATATTTTATTTGAATTAGAAAAAATATTAATTATTGAATCCACTGTCAAGAGACTGACTGAGTTACTTTAAGCGATTTTTAAGTTGATTATTCATTAGTAGGCCTGCTCGATATTTTTTCGACTCCATGATCGTTTAAATGAAATAATCGATTATTTTGATTGTATTCATATTGTAATATTACATAACTATAGTGACTAATCTATGAACTAAATTATACTTGATATAGAAAAATATTAATATTAAAAAATCAATCGTTAATAATTTTATAATTATTATAAAATTTAACGCCCTTGGTAAAAAAAATGTCATCCTATAATTAAGAATCCATGCACGGAATAAAGTATCGTTTATATGATTATCCCAACAAGAAACTTAGGGTTAGTATTGTGACTATCTATCAATTTGGTTGCTGTAACAATATGGTTACCTTAACCATCTATAAATAATAAGAATAACTGTTTTATACTGTAGCAGTTATCCTCTTAAATAGTTATCACGCATGTTCAGTTAATTTAACCTATTATTAAGGATTAAATATACCTTCTTTATTATTAATAAAAATAGTATAAATTTTGTATAGTGAATAATCATATTTTCATATGATAAATCATAAATCTATACATTATTTTAAGAGTAAGACATTTATTAATTTATAACTGTACAAACTACAATCTAGTATTACAAATAATTAAATATGATTCAATAAATACATACTTAAAAATAATAATTACAATAAAAAAAATAATTATGTTATGTACAAAAAACCATTTTGATGATGGTAGCAAAAAGTTGGCCTTGCTTCTAGTAGATCAATAAGTTTTATTTTTACTACGTTATCTGACATACAAATAATATACGACAGTAAATGTTCATCAAATTTTATGGTGTTATATAAAGTACATAAAGCATGTGGGCTCATTTCAGGAGTGTCAAATATATACTTTATGAGACTATACATTGGAAAAATCATCTGCACCCAAAGAAAAACCTCAATCAATTTTGATAGAGAAATTTTATCAAGGGTTTATAATAATGTTTTATTAATACGAACAAAATAACTATTCTTATGAATAATTATTGTTCAAGACAAGAAAAAAAATTATCATATTGATAAATATATCATAGGTTCAATAGTAATGATATATTTATCAAATTGAACAATGAATTTATTATATAGATCGAGGTTTTTCTCCGGGTGTGATAATATTACAGTTCTTCCAATTTTTAAGAGCAATGTAGAGTTAAATTTATTACTATTTTCAAAATTAATCCTGTGAGCTACTTTAAGTTGATTCTTTATTAATAAAGTGTAGCAAATATTTTTCCTTGATGTAATTGTTCGAGCAGCCACCTTATCATTTCGATGCTAAGCCTCAAACCTCATTGACGATGTGTTAATTAATGGCCCAACGTGATCCATAATCATTGGGTGGTGTTATAACTGGTGGTGTTTTTGTTTTAAATTAGTTTTTAAAAATCTAACATATGTTGATGATGTTCATTGATCAAGTTTTTTAAAATAATAGCACATTTTGACTAAATGCTAACTGTTGTTACAGTCAAGGATTGTTTATTATTAATTATGACTATCAATAGATATCCTTTCTGTATTGTCAGTTCTTGTATTTATATACTCACAACAATGTGCCTTACTACCATTGATAATAACAATGGTGTGTACCTTCTAATATCGATGTCATAAAAAATCAATGAGGCACCTGTATTTGTAATCATTTGTGTATTATACATGTATATTAACTCAAAAATTTGAAACTATAAATGTTTATATCTAATAAACAAATAAAGTTATACTAAAAGTTCAAATGCCATTTGCTATTAAATTAAAAACTCAAACATTTTATTAAATTTAAAATATGTGTTTCCATTTAAAAAACAAAGTTGACACCCTTATCAGGCATAAGGGATGAACTTAAAAAGTATTACATAGTTAATAATTCAAGAATAATGTATAACTAAAGATAATCAAAAAAAAAAAAAATGTTTAAATTATTATTATTCTGTAAGTAATTGAGTGGGTTATGATAAAAAAATCACCTGTATATAAAAATATCAGACTTTCCAAAATACTTTCAAAAGTTAAAGGGTCAGATTTATAAAAAAAATATACCAAATAATAAGTAAAGACATCATGCATCTATAAAAAAAAATTATATTGATCCATACATTTTTCAAAAAAGTATAGCATGATAAAGTTAAAAATATAAAAAAGAATATTTTTACAGAAGTCGTATTTTTTTTATTAATTTTGATGTCTATTTTTACCGTGGAGACAAAATAAAGTCCGAACATTTTTTTTTCCATGATGAAGTATATTACATTAGCTTTAATTTAAGATATATATAAAAGTGTCAGAGATTCCGGAACACTTTCAAAAGTTAATTTTTTGTGAAAAAGTTGTCATTTTGAATACCTTCCTGTGGACAAGTAAAGTGTCAAATTTATAAAAAATATACAATATGAGAGGTAAATACCTTATGTATCAACGAAAAAAAAAATATATTGATTTGGTCATTTTTAAAAAAGTTATGACAGTATTAAGTAAAAAATTCCGAAAATTAGCGATTTTTCAATGTGTGATTTTTTTTTTGAGATTTCCCCCCATTTACAGGGAACGAGGGAAATTTTTTCAATTTTTGAGGGTTATGTCTTCGACTAGATACGATTTGTGATTTTTTGACGAATCGTTGAAAGAAATCGGTAGGGTGAGAGCTGAGAAAAAGTGATAACAGACACAAAAAAACACATCATAGTAAAACCAATACCTTCTCAGCTTCTCATCGAAGCTAAGATAAAGTATTTAGGAACATAAAATGATTAAAATACAGTTTTCGAGTTTGAAAACTCTGCAGAATTTAATTTATACTTCTAAGTAGCCAGTGTTTGCGTGATAGTAATGAATGTTTATTATTGAATGATGTTGTTAAAAAACTATCGTATTTATTAAAAATTGTATAGTTAGTTGATATTTATCACTTAACATAGTAAATTACTATAACTTGTAGCTTAAAATAAGATAAGACTCTGATATAATTAGTTTCTATGATGAAAATTACGGAGAAATATATGGGTGCAACTTTTTATTTATGTTTGATATAATATATCATTATAGATAACTCATTAACAACTTCAATGGTCATCATTTTGTTACTAAGTACTTACTCGAAATTAATAACATAAACTCATAATGAGTTTTTGGAAAATTTTATGAGTTTTTGTAGATTCAATTATTTATCGACACATAACTTTTTATTCATATCTTGTGTAATTGTTTATGAGGTAATGTTAAACCTTTTTTATGTGATATTAAAAAGACAATTAAAATTCAGTAATAACCTTTTATTTTTATTAATTATTAAAAAAATGCATTTATCAGGTTGTTAAATTTATGTAATATGATGATAATAAAAAATCTTATGATAAATGCAACTTTTCAATGGATAGTACAATAATATTGCACATTATTAATATTTTAATATTTTCTAAGTATAAAAATGATCAAGTTTATAGTTTTAACAATAGTTTACCAAAAACTTGTTATTATAAAACAATTCACCTATAGTTTTATTGTATTGTTTCAAAAATAGTTAACTTAAATAATTACTAGACATGCATTATTCATGTTTCGGAATATATACATATAAAAATAGTGGATATGTGATTATGTTGTAACATAGTGTTTTTAGGTCATTAGTTCATTTAAAACACGAAAATGAAAAATAATTCCAAGGGTTCATAAAAAATTGGTCTTAAATATTATCATATTTCTTCCAGTGTATTGGAGTTTTTGAGTTTATTTACGGTAAAATATCTTATTTCTGAAAATATTAGTGCAAAATATGTCCGTAAAATAATATTTAATGAATTATATAATATGATGTCAAAATATCATAAAATTTTCTTAAAAAAATGTGGTGTCATTGGTTGCAAAATTTTAGTTGACGTCATATTTTA